CCGGCTGGTGCTGTTCAAAACATTCATCTTATCCACAGCTATATACGGCCTGAACATTAGCTGGACCCCCTGTTCGAGCACTATAACTCAGCACTCATCCAAGTAGCAGCCATCATCATGAGCACTAAATACCTTAGATTTCTCAAACATCAAACAAAATCACTTCACTTTTGTGGCCTGCTCCCCACGCGACCATTTGCGGACTATCTCTAGGTTGCCTGGGAATACAACTCGACTCAATGGCCAGCACAAACTCACTCACTCCTCAGAAACACAACCCGCCTGGGCCCACGACAAACCACCACTTCGCCTTCCGTACAAAATCTATGCCCATCTGGACACTATATGCAAAACCACGGGCGGGCGTACACCCGACCATGTTGCCCTCCGCCGACGCTGTGACGACATTAGGAAGAACTCAAAACGAAACGCTGGTCCAACAAAGAGATCGCGGCAATGACCCGGCGCCAATACTACTACCAACTGGTCATGGGCGAACCGCCAACTTCAAATCAGGACAAAGCCAGACACGACAGCTTCAACCGCTACTTCGAGCCTACACCAATCAGGCTCTGTGATACGAATACGTGTATGTTCATATTGCTCGACTACCGCTACAAAGAGATCGCGGCAATGACCCGGCGCCAATACTACTACCAACTGGTCATGGGCAAACCACCAACCTCAAATCAGGACAAAGCCAGACACGACAGCTTCAACCGCTACTTCGAGCCTACACCAATCCGGCTCTGTGATACGAATACGTGCATGTTCACATTACTCGACTACCGCACCGACGGATGTCTCTGCCCGGTCTGCCCCGATGGCCACAAGTTTTCCACCAGCCACTTTGCCTACATCCAACAATTAATCCGACACATCCTGGTAGGCCCAAAACTGCCTCCCATTGGCTCTGACCTCCTCCAGCAATTACAGGAGCGCCACGACTTCCACGATATTTGGACCCTCTACTAACACCTTGAATTCTTTCTCCAGCATGTAGAACAACCCCCGTACCCATACCCGTCTCTTAAAAATCAAAAGATGTTCTTCCCCATACTCCGGCTAATCACGTTGTTAAAGTACAACTTTCATATTTCGGTCCAAACCAAGTCATCGCGCCTGTTGGTTCCGCCCATGATATTTCCGATCCAGGCCAACCAGCACATACCGAGTGCATCCGTGGTCTGGTGCGGCATCGGTTCACCTCCAACCTCGCTCCACAACCGAATTATGACGGATAGCCTGGTTCTACTCGGCATTTCGTATTCTGTACTAACCCATTCCACGGCACTACACGGTGCAGACCCGATCCGTACCACAAAGGTGGGTACGCTACTTAGTAGGCCAGCAAGCGAATATGTGGCACACTCGATGGTGTCAGCGCATATCCTCCATCGGCGACTCACTTGGCCCAAGCTTCAAACGAAGATTTGCTGATCACTTCTTCCCATCGATCTTCCCCGAACCACTACAACAGCTATGAGAGCTATACCATATGTACATACATTGTAACTTATCTCCTTTGAAATAAATAATGTTATCCTCATCTCGAGGCAAAAGAGATTGGTGCTGTGGCGTGTCCCATCATTTTCGATGGCAGCGTCGTAAATCGGAAGGCCTGCTGTATGCTGTTGCTGCAGAATACCAGCCCAGAACCACCTGGTCATCGTCTTGCTTACCCTCGCCAGTACCCAACAGCGTGAAAATTAATGGGCAGCAGATGTTCCCCATGTATTGCATAATACATATAGTAAAATGTGTTCGGAATAGTCTAATTAGACACAGTATATATTCAAATACCCGGGAATGAATATCTCAACAGGCTTCCGCCTGTGTGCCGGCTGGTATATGCGACATACGATAGATTAGGAAGTTCTATAACCTTTTAACCAAGCTAAAGCATACTCTCCTATCCGAATTAAGCGTGTTACAGTATGGCCTAGCAACCTGGAGCGACAACAGGCCGCTCCAGCGCTGTTACTGCTACACTGAAGAGCGAGTTCGGTAATCAAGCGAGCGGCACATACAATTTCCTGTTAATGGTTCGAAACTTTGTGATAGAGCCCTTTCTTATCACTAGCGTGTCTAAAAGCAAAAATCGGTGCTTGGCTCGGGCTGCACCGTTTTCTGATCCTTCTGATCCGCGACTCCTGGAAGTCCTGGAAGCGGATCCTGGAAGCGGAATCCTGGAAGCTGCGTGGCTACAACAATGTTTTGTGGGACTTTAAGAATCGGATGAGGGTGAAAAGACGATGATAATGATCCAGGGCTTAGTCCGAAAGACTCTAGCGATGACAACGAGGATATGCTCTATGACTCAGAAGACAGCACGTCAGAGGTAAGAAGCCACCATGTGTTTACATAAAACTTGTACTCAATAATGTGATTTGCTGAAAGCACTTATTCATTGTCTCTATACATACACACAGGATGAAGAAATGGATGATATCATCAACGAACTATTTGGTCCATAAATCGAATCTTCAGACTCTGAATTAGCTACATAAGGCGAATTGATGGATGGATCGAATGATAGTCAAGCATCAGCTACAAACGGGACGCAGAACGTCGATAATGGAAGCAACGTACCCACAAATTCAGAGAACACCAGCACTGGAAAACGTGGTCGTAAACCATTTAAGGACGGTCTCACTCCCGAAACGTTTTTTTACGCTGTATCACACCTTCAGAGGTCTTGCTGTCTAAATGCATTCGATATTTGCGTACAACCACAAATTTAGTATATGTGCTACCAGGGACGATCAATAACGATCCTATTGAAAGGAGTTTTTCAATTCCTAGATCGATGGCAGGTGGCAATCGTCATTTAGATATCATCGCTCACATACACGCACAAAGAACTTTACTCACACGCGCTATCTACGACATTGCAGGAATCAGGATCAACGTCACAACTGTGATCTATTCACGTTGGTATTCGATGGTCGTCAGGGGAAGACTGACAAATTAGAGCAAGTTCAAGCGGATTCACTGACACATAAGTGGTCTCACTTGCAGAGTTATGAGAGGGATCTCGCCAGCACTTCAGTTCAGGGTACAACTCTGTCATATATAGCTGGTATGCCGTTTGTAAACTACTGTATAATTTCCCAACGAGTTGTTTGACTTGTCGTGATAGCAACGTTTGAGCAAAGGAATTGATGACGATAGAAAAATGGTAGTAGAATATTCTAGTGCTTTACTCGTAAAGTTGGATAGGAAGGGCTTAATGTGGCTCACACAAGCGGTTGTAATTATGACAGGTTTATTACTGAACGTTATCGACAGTATAATAGGTAACAAAGAGTTGTTAGATCAGTTTTATGAGTCAACATGCGCAAGTAGGGTTGGATTGAGGGTGATCAAATCTTTTATGTACCCACCGCATAAGCACATACAATATTCTCACTACATTGAAGTAGAATGCACTGAATGCCAAAGATATCGCACAAAAACGACTATACGGCATCTGCTCAATACTCTTTACACAACTGCTTGCAATATTGTGACTTCATTATTGAATAGAAAATGCGCTGCGACAATCGTTACGTGAAGTATGCTTAAGGCTAATAAGCGAGTAGGAAAAGCGACATCACGTACAAGCGAAGACCATACAACACTGACGGTTGACAGCTCTGGAAAGTGGACGTCTGAGAAATGTAAAGATATACTGAGGAGTGTTAATGCACCATTGAAGGGTGACATAGATACGCTTCGAAAGCGATGTTTATTGCTCAAAGACTTACAGATTTACGGTCTGGGATGTGTGCTCGGCTTGTAGATCGATAATGCGCGAAGATTTGTTTTCAACTAGAGCTCGAACAAGGAAGCAAGCTCGAAATACTATCCATACACAATATATGTTGCAGTTTACAAATAGAAAACAACACCGGAATATAAAATGTCCGAAGAAATTAAATATATACATATCTATAGAATATGCACGTATATAATGTTGCACATATCTCAGGGGGAATGTACTTATATCAGGGTACGCTACCCTTAGCCAAGATAGTTTAGTGAAGTCTTTCTCGACCAGATATTTGACTTCTTTATTCTAAGAAGTCGTCCTTTTGGTATTAGCGCCTCTTTCACTACAACAATCAGAATAGACGGTAAAAAAATCTCGACTTTGGACCCAGAACTTTGCTCGCTTCGGTCAGAATATTTCACAGATTCAAAGATGCGATTTGATCGATCGAAAGGATGAAATGTTGAGGAAGCGATATGCGTGTCGCTCACCCGATGTGGTATACAGTTCAATTTCCTGGCTGCCACAGGATTACTATCACGAGTGAAACTAGATATACCGTTTTGCCCGCGTTCTCTAGAACATTTCGATATATTCGCGTCATATGAAGAATTTGAAAAACACTTGAGTATTCACGTTCAGTATGTCTTTTCAGGCATTGTCGCCAAATGAATGTTCAGGTTTGTGTCCTTCATAGAGAAGCTAGATAGGAAACTGATATCAAACCTGAAAATCACATGTCGCGACATTTCCACCGCATATATAGTGAGGTTTGCATTTGAGAGCTCACCGCTTAATCTCGCGGTTACTAGCGATCGAGTTTCCCCGATTATCAGCAAAAGTAAGCAGTAGGTCGCGGTAGTAGATTTTTCGATTCCCGTCACTCCAATTTACACAAACTTCAGTCTTTCTCTTGTATCTAAGGCATCCGCCTGCACGCATAGTTGGCAAATGTATAGATAAAACGCGATTCTGGGATAAGCGTTTTAGTTACGCAATGACTGGAGTACAATATTTTTTGTACAATATGTGCACGTCGATGATGATCATTAACTCATACCCAACCCGCTTGTGTAATACAGTCCGAGTAAACTTCTCCGTTTTGAAGTTATCACTTTGATTATCTATGCAATAATGCTCGTGATCCTGGAGGTGCGAGCTATTTCGATACATTCAAATTGAAAATAGAATGTGTCTGACAAATAACAAAGGTTTCTGTGAAATGGAATGGAGAACTAGACAGAAGTTACATTCAATCATATACATTTATTGTTTTTCTACTTCAGCCACGGCAAGGGCTTATTCATCATATCAATGTTTGAGCCGCACAAGATCACGGCGACTTTGGCATCACGTTCCAATCCCAATTTTACTCTGATCGCGTCGTTTTGCTTGAGCACTGCAGCAACTCCGACACCAGCTGAAGGCTCAATGACAACTTTCATCCTGAAAAAAGGCAGGCGAAATTCTGGTTCGGTGATGGCACATACTGACAAAAGGATGTCTTTATATTCTACACAACCTCCGTACATGCACTAGTTGCAAATTTGTGGTTACGAACATTCGTGTGTAGCATTTGGCCGGTTGATGATGTATCATTCGCATAACAATATGGGACTCAAGTCATATATCAACATTGACGTACCGTTCGTCCTGTTAGAAATATAAACTACAATGCGACACGACTCATCCAGAGAAGAATCACATTGGCTCACAATAATACTTTGCGCTTTACATTCTCACCACTTCCCGGGATCGCTTGCGCTATCAATCTTCCAATACAACTAGAAAACAGATTCCACAAATTTTGGGTATGAGAATGTGTAAATGCAATGCACGAAGACGCGGCAAATATGCTATATCCCGACACGCATATTGTCAACTAACACTGACCTGTGAAACACTGTGAAGCACGCATCGATAATATCCTGCTCAGGCACGGTTACAATGGCGTCCACGCAGTTGTTTATACACGAGAAGGTCTTATCGCCAATCGCCACTCGCAGACCATCCGCCACTGTATCTGAATAGTCTGTGTTCTGGAGATGGGACACATAGGACATATTACAGCAGAAGTCACTAGTTTGGTTAAAAATTCTGCATAATTTGCGTACGACTAGTGAAGCGTCTGTTCATGCAGCTAGATATGCTAAGATCATACTTCTAGATGTATGGTAGATATGACGCTTGTTTCACCCGCCTGTAGAGAGATACTTGGACTCAGCGAATCACTGATCAAACCCAAAACAAACCAGATACAATACATTGGTGTAAAAGCCCCTGTTGGTGCTTATATACCTCCTTCGGATAATTTATCTATATAGTAAACTCGTGCGGAGCACAAGTTGATTTTCGTGAGAAGCAAGTGCGCTTAGCAGCTGATAGACACCAGGTATCAAAATACTTTTCTGGTTCACTCCGCAGATGCACCGCTGGCGAGATTTGGATCAAATACCTTTTGTAGTGACCCTAGTTGTAACGAGCGCGCTGCTTCATCTGTTATCTCCGGTTCCGCGCCTATCACCTTTATATTTGAATTCATTCCTACAATAAAAAAGAAAAAGATGCTTAATAACAGCGCCAGCAGTAAAAACTGCCACCAATACTATTTTTTGGCACATGTTCTTGTAGATATAAAACTTCTCATCGAGACGCTCACGCGAGTCTACTACTTAACATCTACTGATAAATATCCGCATAAATGGCGCGTACAAGCGAACGAACAGACAAGCATACAATTGTACTGATTTGTGTATGTAAGAGTTCAGTTATAATGTCCGGCTAGGTGTAAAGCTACTTATATCAGCTTGAATATGAGTAAATATATGACACGAACAACACAAACATATATACAATATTCTACCTATCACACAGACGGCACGATCGCTAGCCGTGGACGAGGAGGGTATCTGCCAATTCCACTTCAATGCATAATGCGGACTTCAGTTCTGTAGCCGTTACGGTGCCGAGATCCCGAGTTAGTTTCAGAACCAGCGCACTCACGCGACAAGCCAAATAATATAAACAACAAAAGGAACAAGCATTTTTCGTCCCAGATATATGTTGCTTACTTTAAAAACCATGCGTGTAGTTCCAGACTAGACTTACCAGCTTGTACCGCAGGATGTGCTAATTTGCACCGCCTACTATGATTTGCAGACACACATTATAGACACACTCAAGACCATACGTACACGCTTGTTTACCGGGCCACAATCATACACTAAAACACGTCACAAATCCAGACAAACCTTTGTAGCAATTGTGCATGACCCAATGTCGTACAAATTCATACAAATTACCTTTGATCGCCACTGCGACCCCTGAAATGAGCCCGCCCCCGCCTACAGGTACAACTATGGCCTGGATGTCCGGATGTGCCTCCAGTATCTCCAAAGCCATCGTCCCTTGGCCAGCCATTACACGTGTGTCATGTGCTGCGTGTATGAACTCGGCCCCAGTCTCTTGCCTGACTTTCTCGGCGGCAGCCTCCCGTCCCTGCGATGTGGGAACTGGTTCATTAAATTGGATCCATGCAATTCCTCAGTTCTAAGTGTATTCGTATTCTTTCATAGTTTAGTGTTGTGCAGAGCTGTTTCATACTCCATCGACGCCTTATATGCAACCGATCGCGATTTACCCGACCAGGCACGTACGTACACATTCGTTACGTAAGTAGTCGAGCAAATAGGAGAGTATCACCAACACGCATGTCAAAAATAGCTATAATCGCGTATGTATGATAGTGACCTACCTTTTCATATGCGCGCACGAATACCGCATACCTCGATCGTACTGGGGCAGATGCTGATGATCCCGTTATACCCCGCAGCCGCTTCGCGCTTGCTGAGAGGTGCATTGTCCGGCATGCACACATACGCATTGATGGGCTCGTTGCGGGCGTGTTGCGAGGCCCAGGCCAGCGCCTGTGCGAAGTTGCCCGAAGAGTGTGTGACCACTCCCTTGGCCGCCTGCTCGTCGGTTAACATGGCGAGCGCGTTGGAAGCACCTCGACACTGTGAATATTTGACACGCAGGTGAGACTACTACTCAGATGTACATGAACAGAGAAGGCTAGAAATCAATGCAAATACTGTACCGCTTGCGTATGTCTGCTTGGTCTTATAGGGACATTGCGAGGTTGTCAAAGTAGTAATATTCAGTGCTATTGATGTGTATGGACGGATAAAGCTAGAAATCAAAGCACGCGTTGCACCGCTTGCGTACGTCTGCTTGGTCTTATATTGGGACATTGCGAGGTTGTCAAAGTAGTAATGCTCGGTGCTATTGTTGTATATGGACGGATAAAGCTAGAAATCAAAGCACGCGTTGCACCGCTTGCGTTCGTCTGTTTGGTCTCATAAGGGGTCATTGCGAGGTTGTCAAGGAAATGATTCTCAGTGCTATTTCGGAAAAAAGAAAAGTAGGCAATACGCAGGGCTTACAGTCTCTTGCACGCCTACCACAAGCGAATCGCTTCCAAATACAAAATGCAAGTGCACTTACGAAGTATAGCATTATTCAATCACTACTACACGATACAATTTTAGAACAAAATGTGTACGGCATATGCCAATGCAGCATGTGCGTGTGCGTCAGGTTCGTAGTCCGTGATATAAAATAGCAACTTGCAAGGGAAAAAAAGCCTAAAAACCATTACGCCAGCTACAAGATATCTTACCGAAAACGTAAGAATGAAGCCTCTAAGCTATATATAAGGTATACACTTAAGCAACTCCCCAAAGCCTCAGAACGAACGCACGTGTTCAATCCGGAATATTCTAGCTCGATCCGAGACTCATACGATAGTACACCGAAAATTCGAAATCGAGTCACGCTCACGATTGTTTCGAGTTCAATTCAAAATCATACTTTGAAACTCCCAGTTTTGTTCATTCCCTCATGTTTAAAGATCAAATCAAAGCCAGTCACCGTATTCATGTGCGTACTTGTGAATACAGGCGTGTTTGTGATGCGGCCCTTCACACGGGCCATAGCGTCTTGAACATCTTTCAGTGTGATGGCCTGCGCTACTTGACGAGGATTCTGAGGTGTTATGACTGGCATCGCGAACAATCAGTTGATCTACGAATGACAAAATGTGGGAAAGTAATGACAGTTTTGAAAAAGAATAGCCAAGCACTCTCACAAGAAGAGGAAAGACGCTCTATATACATACGTGTACCACACAAACGTATATATTGATATACATACGGATGTATCTATATATACATACATACATATATATATATATATATATATATACATACATATATATATATATGTATATATACATACATGCACATACACACACACACACACACACACACACACACACACACACATATATATATTTATATATGCATACATACATATATATATATATATATACATATATATATATATATTTATATAGGCATACGTTTATATATATATATAGATATAAAGATATATATTAATATAGATATATATATTTGTATATATATATATATATATATATATATACTATATATAAATATGTACATAAAATAACAATAATAATATATGTATTGATGTAGGAATATTTTTATCGTTCTTTATATTGTTATTAGTAATGTGAAATATGATTGTATATACAAATGTTTATATATATATATATAAATATATACTATGTATATACTATATATTATATAGATATAGAGATATGAAGATATATAGATCTATACATACAACACACACAGACACACACACATACATAAAAAACATATACATATATATATATTAACACACACACACTTATATATATATACATATAGATATATATAGATATATATACATAATATATATATATGTATATATATATATACATTTATATGTGTTTTTATACACACACAAACGTGTACACACGCACACACACATACACACACACATATATAGATATATATATACATACATACATACAT